ATTTCTGTGAATAAAATAATTGTAAATTTAATAAATATAGTATTTTGAATAAGATGTGTGACATGTACATAGATTGATTTTTTAATATAAAATTTCAGTTAATAAGTTTTAGATTTTTTATATTTCTTCTATATAGAAATTCGTGTTTTTAAACAAACGTATTTATCATTTTTGTAAAAAATATACCTATTATTTTTTAAAACAATAACATTTTTAATAATATAAATAATAAAAAATAACACAATAAAAAAAATTTATTGTGTATTCCACAATGTATATTCCATTAAAAATTTCATTTATTTTATAAAAATTCATTATAATATGACAAAAAAAAAATAATAAATAATAAATTTCTCTAGTTTTTAAAAAAAAATTACGTATGTCTTATAAAACAAAATTTCTCACCTGCATTTCGCATCGAACAAAAAATGCAATATGTTGTACTAAATTAGACTTAGCATTTATATCGACATATACATTTTCTATACATTTATAATTTATATATATTTCCCTTTCTATTACTGTATTGTAAACCAAAAGAAACTAGGATTGTACTTTATCGCATAATGAAGAAAAAAAATGTTACGTTTTGTAACTTATAATTCGTAAATTGATTTTTATACGCGTTTACGAATCTAATATTTTTCGTCCTCCTTGCTCAAAACACGCAAAATATGTTGAATAAGAATAGACGTCATTGTAATGATACGAATCGAATGTGCAGTATTGGATAAATAATTACAATTAGTTGTATCGCATATCAGTTATATAATCACTACTATTCCGTACAAATGTAATTTTGTTATTGTATGATATCGATATGTATATTGCAAATGAGAAAAAATATGCAATATTAATACTGGATATAAATGGAAAAATAGCAATGCCATATACATATATATATATATATATTAGTAAATTCATAATATTTTTCACTTTTACACTTTAATTTTAATTAGAGATTTAATTAAAGATGTATTTTCAAAATCTTATCAGAAAATTAATGTAAGTAAAAATGGAGAAAATAGATAGATATTCATTTCATACAATTAGGAAATCTATTATTCCAGATAAAATTGCATTTAACTATATGTTATAAGTTATAAGCAACTTGTTTATCTGATTCTTAAAATATACATATGTATATTGTAATTCCTTAAATCAACATTTTTATTATTTTTAGTTATATATGTTTTTTTATACACATGAAAAAAAATTATGTGTTATAAAATATATCTTCTATAATGTAAACAAATTATCATTATATAAATTTTAAATTTAAATTATTTAAATTATCATATATTATAAATCTTAATACATTTAATATATATATATATTTATATGTTACAATATACAAATTTATATGTTACATGATGATTGAGAAAGATCATATATGTTTAAATTAATTATATTAAATATTACAGATTCATTCACAATATTCAACAATTTATTTTCCTATCTAATCTTAAATAATTATTATATATTAAATCATAAAAGAAAATTAAATGGATTATTTAGCACAATTAAAGTGCTATTATTATGATATGATATAATATGATATATATATATATATATATATATATTATATACTGAGACAATTTAATGATATTTGATATAATGATTATTTAAGATTTATTAATAATAAAATAAATTATAGAATATTGAAAATAAATTTATAATATTTATCATAATAAAGTTAAGCAAACTTAAACAAAATATACATATCTTTCTCAGTTATTTAAAAAAATATTTAACAAGAATTCAGATAAACAAGGTTTCATTACATATATTTTATCAATTTTTCTTTTTTTTTTTTTTTGACAAATCGAGTTTTAAAATCTTATATTATCATGTACATCAAGATCTTTGGGTTTACAAAATTGTTCCTGCAAATTTACAATAATCTCTCTTATCGAAGTTGTACCATTAATTAGAGTAAGTTTTTACAGTGTTGTAAATGCTCTTTTCCCCCCAGTATCTGGACTTCCCATTTTTCTCATGTAACCTTCCTTCTTCCTTTTTTTTTTTTTTAATTTATTTATTCTTCTCTCATTTGATTATCACAAATCGATCACATTTATAAAGATATATGCGTATGTTGAATGTAGATTTTCTTGTAAATTTTCTATATAAATTATTAAGATTCATTTCTAGTTGATATTATTATTATTAGTAGTATTATTATATCAGTAGCAGTAGTAAATAATAATAGTAGTAAAAATTATCGAAAAAAAAAGTATAGAGGCTAAGCTCGAAATGACTATTCATCAGAAATGACCAGTTACTACTTAATGCGAAGAAAAATTATCGTAACTGTTGTCGTCATAAACTTGAAATATCGCGATATTTAAATATTGACCCTATTGTTGTCGTCATAAAACTTTGACAAGGCATAAAGGGAAATGGTATTTCACTTAATTTAACATAATAATTTTAATAAGCTTTATCGTGAAGTTTCGTACAAAAAAAAATCTCGGTGATGAGAAATGTCCTTCTATACGATCTTGTATCACATAAACAAATTGTTCTTCCGAATTTTACAACTTGTTTTTGCTTCTATATGCTATTCGTGTAAATGCATCGACAATAAAAAAAAAAATAGCCCAACTATGAAAATTTTACAAATGAAATGGAGAACGTTATTGTTAAATGGAAACTAGTTATGATAACACTGACATACATATTAAATAAATAATTTACGATAATTCATGTGCTTAAAGAAATAAGTTCCTAATAGTCACGAATAACTACATATGTCACATAGTTTTTTTTTGTAAAGTTTTGTTTAAATTATTTATATCAAATATATTATATATTCGCATTATTTGATAATTTCTCTTATCATTAATCTATCTTAAATAATTATCAAATATTATATCATTTGAACAGTATCTTGTTGGTTTTAAAACTATTTATTTCATTTATGTATACAAAAAAAAATAAGATCGTAGAAGAATAATATTTATCACATTCAATTTTTTAAATCAACAATTTCTTATTTCCAATCACAATTCGAGATTATGTGGTTCATCCTGTATATTTATTATTCTGACTGTGACTTAAATAATTTGTTAAAAATTTTGTTTAACTATTTTTCAAATAATTGCAAATTTGATTCTATTATGCACGTATATATATAAACATTTTAATATTTATTCTTATCATAATTTTTTATTTTCAAATTAGATCTATACATATAATGCACGTAGATTTATTATATTTCAATTTATAATATATATTTTCTTGGAAAAAGGAACATTATTTACAAATTTGTAAAAAGTAAAACAATCACCATAAAACTAAGTTTTCATTTTATAACGTTCCGTATTGCAATAAAGTTCACAACAGAAACTTATCCGTCTTGTAAAAGGTACAATTGATCATTTTTAAACCAAAAATAATAAAAAAGAAACGACATTTAAACTTCCAAAATTTTTAAACTTAATTTAAACTTCTCTGTTAATTGCCATTAAAATTAATATGAAAAAATGAAATGAAAATTTCATAATTTTAAATGAAATCTCAATTGACCAATTCTTTTTAAAAGAATCTCAATTTACAATATATTTATTCTCTCTGTCAGAAGGATAATTAAGCATCGTTTTATATATCATGATCAACGATGTATCTTTGTACTTACGATATTAATGAGTATCGAACGCTGCATGTGTTCATGTGATCGTAACAGTGGGTTTACGAAGAGAATCGACATACCTACAACTGTATAGTTTAAATCTTAGTTTATGTGGCCTTTACACGAGTCTCGATATGTAGATACACGGTTTCTTTTACTCGCTTAAAATGCACTATTAATGTAAAACGCAGAAATTTCACACACAAGAGAGAGAGAGAGAGAGAGAGAGAGAGAGAGAGAGAGAGAGAGAGAGAGAGAGAGATGTTTTTGTTCATTTTCCTCATGATTATTATTTTAATAAGGCTGAATAAGTATGTATGAAAAAAAGATCATCTTCCTAGATCTGAAATATTATATATATAAAAAAAAAAAATCACTCAAATAAAAATTAAAAATAATAAAGCGTTGCGCGACATGAATGACAGATGAATTTTTGTAAGAAAGGATCATGCTTTAATTATTCATAATTTCACTGTTTATTCGCGAAATTAATCTATACTTCGAAGATTCACTGTCTCCGTCATTTATGCTATAATTACGTGTATAAAATGTACCAACGTGAAATAGTTTTAGTATAAGTAAAAAATATATCAGCTATTCGCAAAATTAGTAACATTTGAATGTTAGAAAGAGAA